CCCCCCCCCCCCCCCCCCACACACACACACACACACACACACACACACAATTGTATTTGAGTGTAATTTATTTCTCTAAAATAAGACAGTCTAAGACAGAAAGATAAATTTGGCTTATTGGCTTATAGCACTAGTTTTTTCAAATGTCCTATAGATTTCTTGATTATATGGTTATCGTGAATTCTTTTGGCCACAATAATCAAGTGGTGAAAATCTGATATCGTAACTGTTCTAGTAAGTACCATCAATTCCTTGTTGGTTTGGGTCTTTTCATGGGATTTGTTGAGAATAAGTGGCTAAAACATACTGTGATAAAAATTGTGAGCAATCATTTAAAGTTTGATTTGAGTTTGAGTGACTTTTTCTGGCTCCTTTGAACAAGAAATTATCAAAATTAAATTTTTACACGAATTTTAAACATCACTCTGGTAAACGGTTGCTTTGTAAACCTTGGTTCCATGGAGAGATTTATGGGTTCAGATGCATTTTCACCCTCATCAAGAACAACAATTCTGGAAGTGCTGAATGTGAGATTATTTGGCAAACAAATGGTCATATGTAGAAATACTCACCTTCATTAGCGAAGTGCGGGGACTCCTCAGCATAGACCTCCCCTGCTCCCACCATGGTGCGTGCTGACAGGAAGAACTTGTAGCGCGTAGATCGGTCCGGCAGGCGGAGGGTGAAATCTGTCACATTGGGATAGAACGTCTCCAACTGGGTATGTCCCACCCTGGAGCCATTGACTATACACACACACACACACACACACACACATTCACAGAAGAACAAATCAATCCTAAATCATCTTAAGGGGCAGTCTGGCACTGCCTCAGAGCGCTGAGCTTCCTCCTCACAGTTATTCCTTTAGACTGACATCATTTTACTAAACTTCCAGTTATTACGGAAACTCCATTAGATGGAGTCTAAGATACATACATACGGTATTTCTACAGTGCAGTGGCTGGTTACATGTACATTCACCTTCACAAACACTGATACAGCTCTTACTGGTGAGCAAATCATCAACAAGTAGAGGCACCAAAGAAATGCTTTCGGTCTGAAGGTTAAGGTGAGTTTGTATTTATGTGTGAATACTCAGGGTTTGACAAATCATATCAGATCACCTGTTTGGTACTTTAACTGGTATGCAATCAAAATGCCGTTGGGCTCCAGAGGTTTGTCCCATTCTAGGTGGATGGTGTCGAAACTTCTGCGGTTTATCCTGAAGAACCTCGGAGCGTCTGGAACTAAAAAAAACAAGAGAAAAAATAAAAGAAGGGTCCAGGATTTGAGAAAAAGGACACAGGGGACAAGAATTGTGTTCTGGCCAAGCTACTTCCATTATGGCCGAAAGCTGGGGACTTGTAAGGCAGTACCACTAATGACCACTAGATGCTGGCTCCAAAAAATCTCTAGCTCCATAGACATCCATTCCAATAGTGCCAAAATACCTTTTTTCCAATTCAAAGTCAGTGCTTTTTCCCTACAAGACATGATGGTCCCAAAGCAAATTTGACTTCTAAATTGTGTCCAGGTGACAATCGGCCAGTACTCACCAGTACTGAGTACTTCTATGTTTTGTCCAGATGTGTACTCTTACTTCTTATTAAGTAACCTTACCCTTAACCTCTGGTGAGCATGGCTGTACCTACCACTGAGGTCACCAGTAGTTTTTCTAAGGGGTATACATTACACATCGTTAAATAATTGTAAATAATGAATAAATAACTACTTTGATGCAAACCCCAAAATCCCCCTAGCAAGTTCAGTTTTTGAACCTCTGTATTTCTAAAACCCTGCATACAGCAATGCTGGTGAGGTATTCCTACACAACTGTGTAAGTTCTTGTTAAAACAGATAAACATGTGTTGGCTATATTGACTGCCATGTTGATTACCCCTTGTTTATCCCACTCCACTCCATGATAAGAGCATGTGGTACAACCACACACTGGAATCAAAATGTCCCTTTTAGAAACCCATGTGTGCTGTCATGGATACTTTTTGATACAGTCTGTGGTTCTATGTCCCACATTACACTGATGAATATGCTACCTTTGGCTCAAAACACTTTTGTGAAACTACACAAGATGTTAGCTCTGCGTCCTCACCTCCCTCCTTGGTGGTGAATTCCACTGTGTTGCTGGGTGGACCCTCAAAGCGGTTGTTGGCCACAACCATAAACATCTTGTATTTGGAGTAGGGCACCAGTTCGCTGAGAATGCCAGATGGCCCGGCCACAGTGCTGTAGAAACCCTTAGTCTTTTTCTCCTTGCTGACCACCAAGCCTGGAACCAGACTGGACTCGCGCCAGTAGTACAGCTGGGAGGTAGAATGGGAAGTAAAGGGTTAATGGGTGCAGAGGAGGGAGATTAAACAAAGGAAACAGTCAGAAACTGCGAATCAGTGTCTGTATTTAGTCCAGTGTTACAAAAAAATAGCCAGTCTCACTCTGTACTCCTTGAACTCTCCCTGGACAGAGTTCAAGTCCACAGGTTTCCAGTGGATGTGTGCCGTGGTGTCATCGACCTTTGACATTTGCAGGTCAGTGGGAGCGTCAGTGGGCTCTGGACACACAAAAAGGGACACAGGATGTGAAAATAGCCACAAAGGTTCAGATCTGTTTGTGCTAGAATAATAACAAATGAATGAAATTAAATGATTGGCTGATAACACTCAGTTCTGAGTTATTGTCAGCCTGAAAAACATCAAAACAAAATATCTATCAGGCTTATTCCAGAAATCAATGTTGGTATTGGCTTTTACAAAGTGATATCTACTGAGTATCTGCTTACTGTCCTCTCCAGAGTATCCGGTGACCACATTGGACTCAGGTCCCGGTCCAAACTCATTCATGGCCTGGATTTTGATCTCATAAGGCACGTAGGTTTCTGTGTTTTGCACAACATATTTGGACTCCATCGTGGTCACGTTATTCCACTCCTCCTCCAATTCCTTCCGTCTCCACCACACGTTGTAGCGCAGGTTTGGGCCATTTCTCTCCAGATCAAGCAGAGGCTGAAAAAAACAAACAAATTAAAGACAGTTAATTAGGTTTGGAGTCTTTTCATGTCATCAATAAAATCTGGTTAAATGTTTTCATTTTATCACATTCCAGTTAGCGGAATGTGTTAGTGCTAGCACTTGTTTAAAGCCTCCCTGAAGTTTTGAATCAGCAAGGTTACTGGTTACTGGATACTGACTAGTTTTGTAACTATATTACATGTGTTTTTCCCAAAACGATTTACATTGGGGCAGAACTATGTATGAATGTGGGACTGTGCCACCATCTCTTTCCACCATGGACGTCAAAACCATATGAGTCAGCCTTTTAAATGTTGCCTAGAGATTGAAAACCTATTTCTATTTTCGTGTAATGTCAACTTAGTGTACAAGCACAGTGTATGCAAGGCCACATTCCTTTTCTCAATTTATTTAGTGAAATCAATTTAATCTTAGAATGTTTTCTCATGCTCTGAGGAAACAGAAAGGCGTGAAAGATAATTATACATATGTCCTCAGTACATAATTCCTACTACTTTTCAATTACTTCACATTTACATGATAACCTTGCAAGGCAACTGCACTCACAGGATGACGAAATCACTAGATCACGCAAGAATCCATCTTGCCAGACTTGCCTGTACAATGTTCAAACACAGTGGTTCAGACCAATTAGCATCCTATGAAGAACTATTGGCAGCTACGACATGAGCTATGGGTGTGGTTTAACACTGTGTTGGTGTGACAACATGTGTGAAAAGTTTGCTTGGAAAAAACAATGGCAACTGCTAAAGAGGTTAGCGTAGATGCTGCTAGTATCAAGTCTTACCTCCCAACTAATCTCCATATTGTCCTTCTTGGAGCCCCATCCTCGAAGACCTTTGGGAATGGCATCTGGGGCTTGTTTTGACATAACAAAATGCACTTACATCAGACAAACTGCACAGGTCAGAGCTATACATACAAACTGTTTAACAAAATTTCATTTTTAAAATTGTCTTTTGAGGAGCTGAAAACTGTGATGAACAGAACTGTATTTTTCATACAAAGTAGGTTGAAACAACAACAGAAAACACACATATGATTCCAGGTGAGTGTGTGTTGTGCTCCTTACCAGCTCCGCTGGTCTTATATCTTAGCGAGGGGCGGCTGGGCTTACTCTGGCCCACTGAGTTGATGGCAATTACCCTGAACTGGTAGTTAACGAAGGGGGCAAGCTGCAGGATGACTGAGTTGAGGTCTCCAGGGTAAGTGGACAGGTTCTGCCACCTGCCTGGCTCCCAGCGGTTTTCCTCGAATTGGACGAGGAACTCTGCAGAGACACACAGCTGGCTTGAAAAATGGCAGACTGCTTAATGTTAAAGGTGTGGGAGTGTGAGGAGTTCAGCAGGTTTTCAAGGCTCTTGAGATCAGCTCTTGCTCCTGCGGTGGACCACTTGCAGTTGTGGCTTCATGTATCCTGGTATAATGTAATTTCATCCCCTCATCTCCTCTTAACTTTGTTTAATGATCCTAACGCATTAATTTTACAAAACTTTCTATAAATACAGATTATAATTGGCATTTTATGAGTAATAGGACTGCAACATTTCTCTGATGAATTATAATTGTGGCCTTATTACTGAAGAAATTAGGTATACTTTAATAAGTACTTCTATTTCAGCATCCCTACATCATCATTTCTTTCCTGACCTAACTAACACCTCAGCTTTCTAGCTCTCCTTTACTCACACAATCTCCCTACAGGATGCACTCAGTGTTAGGAGACTATTACCTCTTTTCCACCAAGGCAGTTTGAGTGCTGGTTTGAAGCTGGTGCCTAATCTGGAACCAGTTATTAGCGTATTAATTATTAACCGGCTCTTGGCAGATACAAGCATAGCTGGATAGCCAGCTAGCTGTTGGTCAGCTAACATTACCAAAGCAAGCACAACTTGCAGCATATTTCTCCCATCAATGTTTTTTGTTCATAACATTGATGATGATCATAACTTTAATGTTACTTTTAGTGCCTGAATTGGAACAAAACGGGTGCCAGTACCCTAATTCAGTACAAACCTAACCGTGTTTTTTAAATCCTTTTTAACTAGAACATTTTCAGTGCTGTTTTTCTTCGTGTTAAGCTAGCTGTGTTTACATGAAGACTCAGTTACACAGGGCATTTAGAAGTACCTCACCAACATTTCTGTACACAGGTTTTAAAATACTGAGGTCCAAAAACTGACCTTGCTAGGTTGGTTTGAGGGGTATGCATCAAAGCATCAAAGTGGTTATTTTTAGACAATAATTTACAACTTTTCCACCTTTGTGAGTAGTGGTAGGTACGGCCATGCTGACCAGAAATGGCAGCACTCAAGAAGAAGAATACTCGGTACCGGTGAGTACTGACCCATTTCAGGCACTGGTAACTTTCAAGGCTAGTAACAATAATGAAATGAGTAGCTATGCTTGCTTAGGTAATGTTAGCTGACCAAAAGCTAGCTGGCTAGGTAACAATAGGTAACGTTGGAGATGTACAGTGACATAATGATGTGGCTCTATGGTAGCTCTCTAGCCAGTGGAAAAGCAAACCGGTTCTTAAAAGGTTCTTAAGTTAAACAAACTCTGAATTGGCACTAGCACCAGCCCAGAACAAGCACTGGGGTCACGTTGGTGGAAAGGGGGTATATGAGATGAATGAAAGCTGAACCTGTTCCACACCAATATAGCTCAGTATGCCTGTAACACAAGACGAGTTTTTGAGAAATGCGACAATACAGGACAATTTAATCCTTCCAGGATGTCCAGGAGATGTGAGAGAATACAGATATATGAGGAGTGTGTGAGTACTGACGTGTGACTGGGCTTCTGTGGTCATTTCCGGGGATCCAGGTGAGGCGAATGCTGCGGGCAGCTGGGTCAGATAGATCCAGATCAATCGGAGGGTCTGGACGGTCTGCAGAGCAACAGGAAATATCTTAAACATGGCAAACACATATTGTGCTCTACAAGGAGACACACAAGAATAGGCATGCTGCAAAACACTTGTCACTCATACTGTTGTGTCATTTATTCTCACAGTGCTTCAGTCTAACATTAAGATTCATTCCGAAATGTTGTTACACCCCCAAATCTCCCAGTTCACTGTTGATGTTTTGAAACACAGTTTACAGTTACAGTTTCAACAGTGAACTGGGAAATATATCAAAAAGGAGAAAATATGGCAAAATTAGGAAAATGACTCACTAATAACATAAACAAACAGCTTGGAGCGAGTGTATTATTGTACCAAACTGGACATTATGACTCAATCTTTAGACTCAATATGAGATCAAATGACTTAAGAGGATGGATTGTGGTGCATGCATACGAAAATCCATTCTGTATTGAAAACAGTATCTTCTCACAAACAAACAGAGAAAAAAAAACCTTTGGCACATAATAAAATAATATCATACCATATTAAACATAAGTGTTTTAATATTATAACATAACAGAGGCACAAGTTGAGAGAGAAGCGGAGAAGAAAAAGTAAAATAATAAAAAGAGAAAATAAATGGGGAAAGAAAAACCAGGACAGGAAAGTAAAGAAGAACAACGACTTCCACCCGAGCCATGTGTTACCTGGAGGCAAGGCACTAGAGACTGAGGGGTTGAGGGAAGCTTCCTCTGTGGGGAGGGGACAAGGACCAGGAAGTGAGTATAAAGGTTAGAGTTTGCAGGTTAGTTTACTGGCCAATCAACAGCAAGGGAGCACAATGGTTAACATGTTATTTAGTACATTTAGTGTTAATGTATTCACTAAGCTCCAGTTTGAGACAATCATGTAATCATCATATTTACTTTGAGACTTTTGCACTGACAGTTATATCTGAGACACTGATGTAAGCCATTTATCCCAAAAAGTTAAAATAAACTCAGGTCAATGAAAAGTTATATGAGATTTAAAACATGAATATGGCAATAAATAACTATTCTATATGTAAGCATATAGTAGAGTCATAGTCCATCTGCCTGTGTTGCTATTGCAGCCTCTCTGTGGTTTGTTTCCATAGCCAGTCTGCTCCGAGTGCAGTTGAGTAGAGCGACTGAAACTGCAGTTTTTATCATCTACGTCTAACAAAAGATTATGAAGATAACGAAAGACTAACAAAGACATTTTGGGTGAATTTTAAAATGTTTGTTTCTGTCCACTTTGAAGGATGTTATATATGTGAGGTAAATTACTGTTTTTGTCTGTGGAATCTGGGGGTGAGCAATAGCAATATTACGGC